AAGACTGCGCCAGAGAGGAGCAGATATTTACCTAAGATCACAGTGAGTCAGCAGCATAGCCAGGACTAGAACCCAAACTTCCACTCTTTGGCCAGTGCTTCCTTCCACTGCTTAGGCATACTGAATTAAAAAGAAAATCTTTTTGGCAAACCTGTACAGCATAGGACAAAAAGCAGACCAGAGCTGCCTGGTCCTACCTGCCTTTAAGCCCCTCTGAGCCCCAGCTTCATCTTTTTTTAAATATGTTTTTATTGATTTCAGAGAGAGGAAGGGAGAGCAAAAGAAACATCAATGAGGGAAACATCAATGGGCTCCCTCCTGCATGGCCCCTACTGGGGATTGAGCCAGCAGTGCCGGCGTGTGCCCTGTGACCTCCAGGTTCATAGGATGATGCTCAACCACCGGGCCACACTGGCTGGGCCCAGCTTCATCTTTAATGGAGGTAACACCTGCCTGGGTGGACAGCAGGGAAAGAACTACCGCCTTAACGCACAGGAAACAAACTCCTCCGCCTGTCGTCCACCGGCTGGACGCAGCTTCTTTCCCCAGAGCTAAGTCAGGGTTCCTGCAGGGATCTGAGGGTCCAGAATTCAGAGTGCAGCCACGTGTGTGCCGAGGAAGGGACGTGGCTGGTGAATCTGGGACATGCCTTAGAGGAAGCTGGTCAAGGACATGACTTGAAGTCTGTTTGGAACTTAGGGAGACCCACCGAAAGACCCTGCTCACATTGCGGGAAGGGAGATGAAGGCCCGGCGAGGGACCCTGGCACAGCTGAGCCGAGAACAAAGGCTCTGGCTCCCGACCCACCGCGTCTTGCATTTCTGGAAGCCGGAGCTGGGGACTCTGGGCTACAGGCATGAACTGCTCACCCTACCTCCCCAACTCTCGGGCTCGGTGGCGGCAAATTACAGGTGTGCCAGCCGGTAGAGCGAGACCTCTAAGCAGCCGTCTGCAGGTGACCCGGGCGAGAGGGTCTTAGGGACGCAAGCCGCTCCTGCGGCGGCAATCGGGGGCCCCTGCTCAGCTCTAGCGCGGAGCGCGTCCCCGGGGCTCAGGACTCACCTGCTCCTAGGGAAGCGCAGGAGAGAAACTGCAGGCCCTGCCGGCGTGAGAGGCGCGCAGCTCTGCCCGGCGCTGGGCCGCCTCTCCTCGGCCCCGCCCCTTTCCCCCTCCTTCCTGCCCCTTTGGCCCCGCCCCCCTCCCGCTGAACCCTCCAACCCTCTGCCCCTCCGCCCCCCGCGTGCTTCTAGGTTCCCTCTCGGTCCCTAGGAAACTCCCACACCCTCTCCGATCCTCACCTTAAGCCCTTCCGTCCCCAACCCGCGTCTCACCGTCACCTGGCATCCTCTGTGCCTCTGCACCCCCCGTCCTCTCTCCCAGCCCCTTCGTCTTCCTGGGGTTGGGACACGCCTGGGAGGGGCTCAGACTGACTAGGGAAGAGGGGCTGTGGGTCCCGGGAGGCTTGCTGAGTGCCGTGTGGACTTGAGCAAGGCAAAGCTCCTCTGCTCTGGGTCCCCTGCCGGCACCAGGAAGGAATTGCTTTCGGTTGGAAACTTATCTAACTCAGGACAATTTGCTGAGGACAGAGTCCTCTGCAGTAACTTAACTGCCGCCCCCGCCTTTTTTTTAGTGAAAGAAAAGAAGTATTCATGCTCATCTTTAGAATGTATCCCGAATACATTGGCTTCCTCCCCTCTCCACCATCACCGTGGTCCAGGTCACCACCGTTGCTCCCTGGGGTTTGCAGTAGCCTAACAAGGCTTTTTCTCGCACCCTTCCGTTTTCCCCATAGCAGCAGAATGTGGGAAACTGGACCATACATAATAGGTTAAGCTGCTTTAGTTGTCTTTGGATCAGATGCAAAATACAACCCAAGCCTCCCAAAAGGTGCGGGACCCACCTTTCTAACCTCTAGCCCCGTCACCACCCTTCTCTGCGCCCAGCTCCCAGCAGTGCGGCTACGCTCCTCACTGCGGGATCTTTGCACACTTGGTGTTATTCTCACAGCTTCTGGCGCTTCCCTCTGCTCTGTAAGGACCCTTCCTTTTCCCTGGACCTCAGGGAGGCCCCTCGTCCCCCATCTGTTATTCTCTGTCTCAGACCCTTTATTTTCTTCCAGGCACTTATTAGAATTTGTAACTGCTTTATTTGTCTGTTTTCTTGTGGCCTGTCTCTCCCATTCTCTTGGTATAGTTTCCATGCAGAGAGACAAGCTGAGGGCTGTCCGGCTAGATCAGGGGTGGGCAAACTTTTTGATTCGAGGGCCACAATGGGTTCTTAAACTGGACCGGAGGGCCGGAACAAAAGCATGGATGGAGTGTTTGTGTGAACTAATATAAATTCAAAGTAAACATCATTACATAAAAGGGTACGGTCTTTTTTCTTTTTTTTTTAGTTTTATTCATTTCAAACGGGCCGTAGTTTGCCCACGGCTGGGCTAGATCCTCAGTACCCAGCACCAGTGCCTGGGCACAGAAAACACGCTCTCAAAAAATATCTCTTTAATAAAAAGCCTTTTTGATGGGGTGGCATCTCCAACAATCAGGAACTTTCTCTTTGCTTCTGAATTTTGATCCCCTGGCAATGTTTCTGCTCGTTAATGAGTAATTCTTGTCTGGGGTTTATGGCTCAGAATAGAGCAGATCGCAGGCAGCCTGGCAACCGCTGGCTGGTGTGGGAACCGCCTTCCTGTGGAATCGCAGCAAGTCTCAACTTTGAACTCAGGAATGTCAGTCTAGCCCCCAGGCCCGATGTCCAGCAGATGTGGCATGCTGCCAGAGGCCTTGGGCTTTCCACAGCTTCTGAGGATCCACGATCCAACTGTCTTCCTCTTCGCCTAATGCTCCAAACTCCTCTCCCAGGCCCCACAAACCTGTGCCCGTGAGAGCTTTCAAATGGAAGCAACACCAAGGAAGGAGCTAGAGTGGCAGAGTTGGCCTCAGGGCTGACACAGGGGAGGGTGGAGAAGCTTGGCGGAGCCCAGGAAGATGTGGCTGACAGTGGTAAGATTTGGCAGGAAAAGGGCACAAGGGCACAGTTCAAAAAGCAGCATTTACTTTGGTTTTCATTTCTCCAAGGCCCCGGGGCCTCTGTAAAGTTCTTGGGCCGTGCACACTCTCTCCATCATGCCTTCAGCCACTGCAAAAGCTGAGGTGTGTAGTAGGTGATGATGATGTCGGCACCTTTGTGGGAGAGAAACAGGAAACAGGGGAGGGGGGGGGCATCAGCTCTGGGCATACCTTCTGGGAAATGAGGGCCAGCGGGGAAGAAGGCAGCTACTACAAAGAGGCACAGTTAGTGCGTTTCACAACATAAGACTGAGCCCAGTGCTAGTCAATCCTAGCTCTCTAGATTGTGTGACTGTGGACAAGTCATTTTCTCTTTTTGGACCCCAATTTGCCAATGAATAAAATGCACAGTGGGGAAGCAGATACGCTGTAAGTTCCCTTGCCACACTGTGTGCCATACCAATAAAACCAGCTCGCATTTATGGAGTGATGAACATATGCCAATCACACCTATCATCTCATTTAACATGACAACCACCTACCAGGTATCTTATCTACTATAGACAGGACTGAGGTTCAGAGAAGTGGCTAGGCCAAGGTCTCACAACCAAAATATAATAGAGAGCTCTGCTTGCTTCACTGTTCCATGTTCTGTTCTACAGTCATGTCTTTTCCTCTCAGCCTGTGTCTGTTTAGATCACTGTTACCTCTGGGCCTAAGACTCCAGGCTGTTTCAGGACTTCATTTCCATTTCTGGGCAAACTGCCTAATAGTCTGTGTCACAGGTCAAAAACCCCACCCCTGCCAGCTTACCAGCTCTGCGGAAGGCAGTCATGACCTCCAGTACAGCGGCCTTGAGATCAAACGCTCCAGCCTGGGCTCCGTGCCACAGCATAGCAAACTCTCCAGAAACGTGGTACACGGCCAGAGGGAGCTCTGGGTGCTGCAGAGAAGCAGCAGGAGGCAGAAGTGGAGGGTGGGTATCCCCCTGGGAGGGTCCCTTGTTCCCTGCCCAACCTTTGACCATCTTGAGCCCCATGCCCTGAGGCACTGCTGGGGACCCCTTCTTAAACTGTTAGAGCAGAGCTGTTCAAAGGCTTCTGCCCACTGGCGGCTCCTGGGCAGGGGCAGGGAGGGGAGGATTCCTGTCCAGGGGCAGATTGCTTCCAACTCTGAGATTCTGCAGTCCATCAATCTAAGGTCCCAGAGCCCGCGGACACACTCTCTCACTTCCCTGAGCCCCCCTTGTCTCTGCTCTGTGCTCACCTTGTTCTTCACCTCCCGCACAATATCCAGGTAGGGCAATCCCGGCTTCACCATGACCATGTCGGCTCCTTCCCGGACATCCCGGTCCTAAGGGATGAGGTAGGGTGTGGGCAGTGCCTGGGAGGCGAGGGGAGAGGGGGACAGGCTAGCTGGGGCTCAAGCTCTGGTCACTCACCACTGCTCGGAGCGCCAGGCCTCGTGCTCCCGGCGGCAGCTGGTAGCAGCGGCGGTCTCCAAAAGCTGGGCTTGACTGAGCCGCGTCCCTGGGAAGCAGCAACATCAGGGAGGGCTTCAGCTTTGGGCTAACGGGTCAGGGCTTTAACAGCAGACCCTAGCCCATCCCCACTCACCGGAAAGGCCCATAGAAACAGGAAGCAAATTTGGCGCTATAGCTCATCACCGATACCTGTGGAGAGAACGTGGGGATTGCGCTCAGTCAGCCCTTTCCAGTTGTTCCAGGGTCACGTGCAGGAAAGGGACCTAGGCTGGGAAGCAGAGTGCCTGCGTTCTAGTCCCACTGGAGCTCTGGGCCTTGATGTCCCTATCTTAGGAGCAGAGGGTGAGACAGTCCCAAAGACCTTGTCCTGTCCGTCTTCAGTTCTGTGATTCTTGGCAGAGGTGGGGGCAGGCCTCTCTCCTCTCCTCACCTCCCCACACCCCTCCCCACCACCCCCTGCTCCTACCCTGTTGCCAAATCCATGTGCCATCAGAGTCTCCTTGATGGCTTCCACGCGTCCATCCATCATGTCCGACGGGGCTACCACCTGGCATCCTAAGGGAGGGAGGATGGCCTTCAGGACTCTGGGACCCTCCTGTCTACTCCACCACCTCCCTGACCCAGAGGTTCTCACCCCTGCGGGTGGCTTACTCACCTGCCTTGGCATAGGCCAGAGCCACCTCTGCCAGCCGCTGGCGGCTCTCCTTGGCCTGGAAAGCCCCATTCTCGCTCAGAAGCCCTGCACGTCAGACAGCTGGATTTTAGGGAGCCCCTGGCCTGTCCCATTGTGGGGAGAACTGGGCAGTGGGAGTGCAGGTGGCAGCAGGGCTGGTGGAGGGAGGGAACTCACCACAGTGACCATGGGAGGTGTAGGGGCACAGGCAGACGTCGCAGGCCACCAGCAGGCTGGGGAAGGTCTTGCGCAACAGACGAACTGCTTCGACAGTCGGGGAGTCCTCAGCGTCCGCTGCAGAGCCCCGCTCATCCTAGTGACAGGGAAAGGACAAAGGAGGCACAGTGAGGACTCTCCCCATTTTGCACAGGGGACTTGACTTGCCCAGTCAGGGTGTCATAGTGCTACTTAGCTTCTTGGCCTTACATGGGTGCTGTCTTAATAACAGGGGCCATGTCCATTCGCCTGTGGCCCCAGGGCCAGCACGAGGCCTACATGAGGGTGTGGTCAGCGTGGAACCTCAGCTCCCCTTCACCCAACCTCCCCTTCACCTCCCCTCTAATACCTCCCCCGATTCCTCACCTTGGGAACTCTACTGGGGACACCAAAGACCAGGACGCAGCGCAGGCCCTCTTCCACCAGGGGCCTCAGCATCTCTTCTAGCCGGTTCACACCATACCTGCGAGGAGGGGCTGCAGTGAGGCAGGCCCCGGGCGAGGGTCCTCCCCACCGGGCCACACTGTGCCTCTACTAAGAGCCAAGTAGCACTTGGTACCAGGAGGGCTCAAGCCCCATAGTACAGGGGGTGGGAGCAGGAACGTACCCAACAAACAGATGGGTAAGCTGAGGCCCCAGTGGCAGACTATGGGATTCAGCTGCAAAAGGCCCCTTCAAGGTTCTTTTATTGAACTCCCATTTGAAGTTAAGCTCTCCTCTCCAAGACTCTGCTATGATGCCTCTGGTGATGGGTAGCCCATTACTTTACAAGGCTGCCTCTCCTGTTGTAGAACAACTTTGGCCCTGACAAAACCCTTCTCTCTACTGAGCTGAAGTCAGACTCTCCAGATCTTCTACCTCCTGGCTCTGCTTCTGCTTCCTGGCATCTCCACCTGTAAAACCTCTCCCTCCATCATCCCCCTCCCTCCCCACCATGTCTCCTACCTGGCCACTCCTGGAAGGCTGGCAACAGGCTGTACATCATCAGGAACATCCCTGCAAGAGTGGGGGTGGGCTATGGATTGGTAGCTGTGGAAAGGGCCAGTGGTGAGGGGGTGACGAGGGGGGATGGTTGGGGAGCTGGGAAGGAATATGGAAGTGGAGATGTTGGGAGGAGGATAGGGTCCAGTGTCTGGTCCCCCTGCCTGGCCAAGCCCAGGGCCTGAAATAATAATAGGAACAACAAGAATAACAGTGACAGCAAGAGCAGCCTTACTAAAAGACAAGCAATCACAGGAAGCACTCAAGTGGTTAAGAACTTGGACTCTGAAGTCAGAAGGTCCTCACTCACTATCACAGTCACTTCCTAGTACTGACTGGGTGACCTTCTTAGCTTCTTGACCTTACATGGGTGCCATGTCCCTTCGCCTGTGGCCCCAGGGCCAGCACAAGGCCTAAATGAGGGTGTACCATCTCTTTGAGCCTCAGGCCCTCTTTTTATATCCTGGGTGGATTCATTCATTCATTCATTCATTTATGCAACAAATATTTATTGAGTACTTATTATGTGCCAGGTGCTGTTCTAGGCTCTGACAGTATAACAGAGAACAAAGCAGACAAAAATCCCTGCCCTCAAGGAGATAACGATCTAGGGTGGGAGTGGGAACCTTTTTTCTGCCAAGGGCTATTTGGATATTTATAAGATCATTTGCAGGCCATAAACAATTATCAACTTAAAAATTAGCCCGCTAGATTTGGTCAAACATTTAATTAACTCACCCCTAATGCCTTGGCAGGGCCAGACCAAATGATTTTGCGGGCCTCATAGGCCTGCAGGCTGGATGTTCCCCACCCTTGACCTAGGGGATAATACTCATACTTCCCTCATATGGATGCTGTCAGAGCTGAAAGATAACAGATGTAGATGCTTAGCATAGTACCTGGTACACAGTGAGTTCTCAATAAATGTCAGCTGTTGCTATGCTATATAATAAAAGAGTAATATGCAAATGGACTGAAGGGCCGGTCACTATGATGCGCACTGACCACCAGGGGGCAGAAGCTCAACGCAGGAGCTGCCCCCTGGTGGTCAGTGCGCTCCCACACGGGGAGCCCCGCTCAGCCAGAAGGCAGCACTAAGACTGCCGGCCTAAGTCTGCTTCCCACATGAGCCAGAACATTCCCCGAGGGCTTCTGGACTGTGAAAGGGTGCAGGCCAGGCTGAGGGACCTCCCTCCCCCCCAGTGCACGAATGTCATGCACCAGGCCTCTAGTTATTAATAATCATGCCTACCACCTCTTACATGTACATAGCACTTAGCAATCTACAGAATACCTTCCCAGCTTCTGTCATACTGCGAAAGCTCAGGATGGCAGGTAAGACTTATTCTTATTTTCCAAATGGGAAGATTGAATTCTTCTCAAGGTTTGTTTCATTCTTAAGACAGCTGTCCTTAACCCATATCTTGAGCTCCAAACTGACATCTCACTTTATCACCCACAAACAGATGTCTGCTCTGGTCCCACCCACACCCTGCGGATCAGAGACCCGGCTCATTCTGCGGACTCACGTGACAAAGATGGGGTAGATGAGGTTGGAGGCACTGAATGTAGTGGCGGCTGCCTGCCAGGTCCGAAGCAGTGGGTGGAAGTAGCCGCTGTGGAGAACAGACTGAGGCTGCATGGTGAGCAGTCAGGGTACAGGGTAGCCAGCTGGTTGGAACTGAGGGCTCCTGGGGTATCTGCTGGGTGTTCAGCTATGTGGGGACAACAGGAGGAAGGTGAGACATGGTCCCTGTCCCCAGGAGGTGGTCATATACCTCCCAAGCTCTTCTGGATTCCTGCATCTGCTCTCTACCTCAGTGTTCCTCTGAGTGTGGTTCACCAGTCCTTGCTCGTCTATAAGATAAGTAGAGAAATGAAAGGAGGCCTTAAGAAACTTTCATAGCAATTTGAACCCAGAAATACAAAATTTGGGCTCATACTTATATGGCCTCTCTTTTTCTTTTTAAATAATATTTTTCTAGTAATTTATTTTTATTTTATCAAAATAATCAATCTGGGCTGGATGGAAATTAGTATGAGGAACACTGATCTAGCCAACATTTATACTTTGTTTATTCCATGAAAAATGTCCATGTACTTGGCAGAAAGTTTAGATAAACCAAAGTAAAAAAACTCCCTGTAATTCTACCCTTCATACGTGGACTTGTCAGGCAGGACACACACTAAGAGGATTAAATAGTGGTTCCCAAGACACACACACACACACACACACACACACACACACACCCTGTGGAGTGGCCATTGAGGTCGTCTTTTCCAGCCCTCGAACTTCCTGCTACTCCCCAAGCACAAGCCACATGTGGCTAGCTTCTGCCTCTGCTCACCCTGTTCCCTTTATCTAGAAGGCTTGTGCTCTCTCCATTCCTCCAGCCCCAAATCCTACCTGGCTGTCCACAAGGCACTCCTTCCTGCCCTCTCCCACTAAAGCCTCTTTTCTTGCCCAGGTCACACTTTCTCTTCTATAACAGGTCTTTGTGACTATATCTTATCTTGTCCCAGCAGACAGGGCTTCTCGGGTTTATAGTGAGTTCATTTTTTTTTGTCTTCCCCACACATTCTGCCACATAGTAAATATTACATGAAATACCAGACAATATGTCCTAAATGCTAAATAAATGTAAGATAGAAGGAAGCTGGGGCAGTAGCATTTGTTTCTTGAGCACCTACTGTGTGCCAGGCCACACTAGACACTTGCACACATGGTTTCTCACTGAGTTGGCACTACAGTCCTGGGAGGTAGGGCTGATTAAGTGCATCTCGGAGAGGTGGAACCTACCCTAAAAGAACTCTGAGTTCCAATGTGAGTTTGGAGGTCAGAAGAAGCTTGTTGAAAGAAGATGAGGACTTGAACTGGTTTTGCAGGATGAGTGGGTTCAGCTAGTTAGAAGGAAAGGGGAGAATAGTCCCTCAGGAAGAGAAGAAAGGAGTAAAGGTAGGAAAGGAGGGATGGCTATGGACTGGTCTTAGGACCTAAGGAGGCAATCAATGGAACCAGGTGTGTATGGAGGGGAGGGGGGCAGATTGGGGACAGGAAAGTTTCTAATGCGGGGGAGGGGCCTGGTCAGAGCCTGGCTTTAGGAAGAAAATCCTGACAGCCTGAGCGCAGCAGGTGGGAAGCAGAGGAGCACAGAGGATGTGGAGCCAGAGGGGTGGAGAAGGAAGGGCCATCATAAGGCGGCCAAGAGGCAGTCTCGTGGGAGGGACGCTTTCCTGACCTGGAGGGCAATGGCGACAGGGACCAGGCAGGAACAGGGTAGTGGGGAGCAGACCTTGGAGAGGAGGTGGAGAGCTCCGTTTTAGAGACGTCCTTTGGGAGGCGTGTATAGATGTCGATGTGAACAAAAGTGACTCCATCTTTGCATCCCTGCTTTTGTTTTTCCATGCTGAGAACTCTGACCTAACTCGTCTCAGCCAGCACCAAAGCCTCACAGTTAATGATTAGCTGTGTCCTATAAATTCACATAGTGTAACCATTGATTCCTGTCAGTAAGTGACCAGAATGGCACATCAAACAAGGTAAATATCAAACTATGCAATCATATAAATATCAAACTATGCATTGGCAATCATGAGACCTGTCTCATTGCATTCTTTGTCCTTTAGTCTTGTCAATCATTAGTAGTTCAGCTATACTACAAAAGATTTATTAGTCTAGCTAATAATCTGCAGGGTCGGATGGGTTGTCTCTTCTGCTCTAACCCAAACTTCAGTAAGTAATGACCCTATAATAAATTCTGTTATAGTCAGTGGACTTGCCTGCTTCGTTTGTCAGTCTGAAGACACCTTTACAGATTGGTGGTTAATATACTTGCACTCCACCTTCAGGCAAGGTGCCTGAGGGGACACTCAGTAGCCAAGTTGGGAAGAAAAAAATATCAAGAGCTACTCATCTCTCCTTGTGTGAATGGGATCTCAAGGCTCAGAGAAAGGCAGGGACTTATCTGAAGTTACACATTCCCTTGGCCTGGGGAGTCCTTTAGTACACGGATGATGCCTTTCTCCCCAGTCTCCCAGGCCTCTTTTTATCTGACCCGCCTTCCTGTCAGGATTGGGGTTATCAGGAGCCACACGGGGCTCCATCCTACTACCCCACCCTTGAGCCACCATATCACCTGACACAGGAGCAAGCCAGGCCTCCCCGAAATGTCCAAACTCCCAAATGAGCAATCATTCAGCAGTTACAAAGTCCCGAGTGACCATTTTGTGCAAGATTCTGCTCTCAGCCTGGCCAGTGTGGCTCAGTTGGTTGAGTGTTGTTCTGTGTACCAAGAAGTCCAAAGTTTGATTCCCAGTCAGGTTACATGTCCAGGTTGTGGGCTTGATCCCCAGTAGGGGGCGTGCAGGAGGCAGCCTATTAACGATTCTCTCTCATTGCTGTTTCTACCTCCCGCTCCCTTCCTCTCTCTATAAAATCAATAAAAAATATTTTAAAAAAAGATTTTGCTCCCAGGTCTGCCAGGGATTAGCCTAGCTCAGAGAGGTTGTCACTTGCCCAAGACTACACAGCTAGTTAGTAACAGCCAGAATTTGAATTTGTTCTAGACGAGTGCTCGGTTTTATCTACTAGTCTTGGTAAACACCGGATTCAGCAGGCACCTCTCTGCCTCGACTATCTTTGCTTTGCTTTGGTGGCTGGAGAGCTGAGAAAACAAGGAAACAAGAATTGAGATAAGGAAATGTAGGCTCAGAGAGGTTAAGTAACTTTAACTTGCTCAATGTCATTCTGGAGTCAAATCAGATTCTGAAGCTGGGTCTACACACGTCTCAGATAGCAGCAACTTTTGTGGCAGCTCCCAGCTTCTGGAATCCAGAGCTGCATTCCACTGGCTTCATTCTCGCTTCTACTTTAGAAGGCTGAGGGAGCAAGTAAATGCCTTCCGTTTATCAGCAGCAACAGGGCAGGGCTGCCTAGGAGCTTTGCAGGAGGTGGGGGACAAGCGGGGGTGAGAGTGTTGAGGGAGAGGCCTCACCAGGGCAGTTCCGCTTTAATATCTGTGTGTTGTATTTTAATTTTAGGGTTCAGGGAGATTTGATTTGAGAAATGGGTATCAGTCATAAAAAAATTAAGTTGAAAATCACCAATCCTGTTTATCGCTTTCATTCTGATGTGGAAATTGGATGCAGAGGCAACAGGGCCTGATATCACACAGTGAGTCAGGTACAGAGCTGGGCTTGAGCACGGGATCTCCTGGCTTCTAGTCCAGTGCCATACCCTGCACCACACATGCACATTCTGTCACAACAGGTGCTGAATCAATATGTGTGGGGTAGAAAAACACCCCTGAGCAACAGAGTTGCATCTCTGTTTGCAGAGCAAAAGCCAGTGGAGGTTTGGGAGATTTTCATACACTTGGGAGAGCACTTCTCTCAAATCAAGGGAGCTTGCAAGTCACTGCTTAAATCCTGTCACACCTCGCTGAAGTCAAGAGCATGTCACCATGGGACCCAGCACCTATGCTCAGCCATATTAGAACAGGTTAGCTTTAACTAGAAAGCGGTATAGGGTGGTCCAAAAAAAAACTACATTTCAGGGTTTTCAAAGAGCCCAGGTCTGGTCTGTGCTCAATGTGTGACTCTGAAAGGTTGCTAGCCTTTCAGATTCTATAAAATGCAAAGCTGCAGAGATTAGAGATAGTGAACAGGTATGTGCCTAGTCTCACAGTAAACACGTAGCTACTTTTATATTAGGGATAGAACTGATCTGGAACTAGATTTCTAGGCGTGCCATCACATCCATGCCTCTGCACACACCCAGAAGGGAGAACTTTTTTTTTTTTTTTATAGTTAAGGTATTACAAATGTGTCCTTATCCCCCTTGCTTTAATTTTTTTACATTTGCTTTTCATTATATCTTTCAAAATCATTTGCTATTTTAGACACAAAACAAATTAAACCAAATTGTTTTCTCAATAAACCTGTGTGGGCTCCAAGGTCTTCCAAGACATCCCAGGTGGGGGTGGGATCGCTGCCTTCCAGAGGGGGTGGGGGGGTGGTGGGGAATAATCACCACACAGATGCTACAACCGAGGGGTGGACCAGGTGCTGTGGGAGGGATCTGTGTTCTCTGGGAGTCAAGGATGGCTTCAGGGAAGAGGGGACATTGAGGAATAAGTAGCTTTTCAAACTGGTTGTAGAGGTATCTCCTTTCTTAGAAGGCAGTTTCCCCAACCTGGGGGTAAGTTAAGTTGGGCCCTAAGAGCTGCTACCAGGAGGGACTGAGAAAGAGCTACAGGGTCTGAGCCCCCCATGTTGTGCTCAGGGGAGGATTCCAGAGGTTATGGCCTTGGCACAGAGGGCTGGGAGCTACTCTCAGATCCGGCAGGCTCTGCCACCAGCTGGGGCGGAGGCAGTCAGGAGGGCCAGCTAGGTAGAAGGTGGCCAGGGCTGAAAAATCCAAAGCCCCTGAGGGGCCCAGGACAGCAGCTGTTAGGCAGTTATGACAAGGGACCGACTTGTTTATTCAACTCACATTTCCTGAATGTCTACTTTAGGCCTGTCCCAGTGCAACACACAGGAATTAAAGAGAAGAATGAGACCTGGGCCATGACCTAGAGCTTTGAAGAGAATTAGCCAGGTCCACAGACTCCTAAGACATCTTGGCTAAGAGGGTCCTTAAAGCTTGTTGATTACATCATCGAAATGATGGCGAAACTGGGTTCAAGGAAGGACAGGCACAGGCCCAAGATCATGCAGGGGGTAGTGGCAAATTTAGGGCTAGAATTCAGGTCTCCAGCAGCCCAGTTTTCAATGCCCGCTACTACCCCTTGATACTTTACGTTCAGATTTCAAAGCCCACAGCAGACTTGGGCTGTGGAGAACTCTGGGTGAAGGGGTGGGGGAGGGAAGCCGACCCGTGACTCTGGACCTGGATGCAGCTGGCTGCACGACAATAAAGTGTGTGGATTTTGGAGTCTGTTCTAGCTGTCACTTCCCAGCTGTGTGACTTCAGTTGCCTCATCTGGTAAATGCGGACTTGAGTCGCCCTAAATGGGCTGTTGTAAAGACTCAATGGGCCAATGCACGTACGTACAAACCTAGCACAAAACGGCTGATACAGTTCCACCATTCTCCCACATCGGCGATGTACCTCGCGCTCTGCACCGAGTCTGCTCCAGGGGTGTCCAAGGGAGTAAACCCCAAGGACTGGACACGTGCCCTCCAGGACTATGGGCCCGCGGAGACCCTACCCCGGCTGCAGCCGGGCAATCCACCCCTAAGAGCCCAAATACCGGCCCCAAAGGACGGATCCCCGGCTGCGCTGCCAGCGCTTCAGGCGCACAGCACAGTCTGGGTCTAGGGACGCGGTACCACAGCCTCCGCCTCCGCCATCTCCCCGTCTCCGGCCCCCGCTTACCTTACCTCCTCGGAGCTGCGAGCCTAGGCTCCCGCCACCGCTCCCTCGCTCTCAATCTAATCTCCCCGGGTGCACCAGGGGCGGGCTGCTTCCCGGAGGCGG